AATTTTACAAACTGATAAAATATTCAATTTATGATAGCACCCAATGTGAATGTGATATTTACGAAAAGGATTTGGCATTTTATATATTCAAATAAGTGTAAAATAAAGTGATTTTGTGAAAATTGTTAGCAATTATGGCCATAAATTCTGAGTGATCTCATCTTTGAAGCCATTTATGATAAAAGGATTAAAGTGAAGTTAGTAGTGTTACTCGCAAAAGACAAAATTGAGTATTGCAATTATAAACTTTTAAAAAACATCTTTTTTATCTTATAAGCAAAGCTTTTAATCCTTGAACTCTTATCCTTTAGCTTGAACTTTATTTCAGTTCTGACTTAAATGTATTAATTAGTTTTCATTTCAAGTTACTATATCAAATATGACAAATTAGTTGACTTACGTACGCAGAAACGTAAGAAAGTTCGTTCTAAAGTCTTGTAACTAATGTATGTGAAGGAAAGATGAAGTCAAATGTAAATATTTGCACGTTTACTTTCCTTACCACTTCTAATCACTGAAGCAAAGAAATAGAAACCATTTTATAGCTTCCAAGCATTTCGCTTTTACATTGTCTAATTTGTGTGTGACTTAAAAATCATAATCTCGTTGATTTCCCTCAAAAACATATAAAAATTGTAATTTTTTGAATTTTACATATTATAGTGAGAACAGACAAATTTGAAACAAAAAAGAGTTTTAATAATTTAAAAAATGTGACTCATTTTCAGTAATTTTTAAAGTTTTCTTTGCAAATTTCCAATGTAAATACAGAAATAACCAATTTATTTTCTCTTCTATTAAGGCAACGAAGAAATCCAGAAAAACGAGTTGCATGAATTATCAAAAAAATATTAAAAAAGGAACAAAAATGATTCAGCATTTATTGTCAATTGCATTTGCAATAGGTAGGATAAAAAAATATTCATAAAATTGACAGTAACAATAATAATATTAATAATAATAATAACATTAAAATTAGATGATTGATAATAAAAGAACAATCTAATAGTCGTTATATCGATAATAATTATAAATAACGACAATAATAATTATTATAATTATAATTATAATTATAATTATTATAATTATAATAAAATGGCAATAATAAAGTTTTGAGGAGAGCGATTTGGTACATGCATTTATTCTTGAAAGTATTAAGCTTAATAAAAGTTCAGAAGTAATTTCAAACAGACTTTTGGTTCGTGCACATGGCATGGCATACATAAGACATACTTTTTAACAACTAAATAATATAGAAAAAAAGTACTTTAGCTAAAATGCTAAGTAAGCTTTTCCATTGCAAAACACGATAACTTGAATAATCTCCGCAGTTAAATTGTGAAGATATAATGTCACTTTTGCTCACTTTCTTTTTGGCTAACTTCTACTAGCTTGTTGGCTAGGATTCTCAGTTGCTGTATGAATCAAAAATTACCTAATATAATATGCTAATTTGTTAATTTTGTGTGACTGTTATAAAATTTACTGATTACATAATACTTACATCTTTGTCGTTAGTAGAAAAGACTACTACTATTACTGTAGTTTGTTTATGCAGAGAATACGTGTTCCAAGTGCTATTCATATTTATTCAGGATTGTTAGCAACTAACTTTTCATCAACCACTGAGTAGTGTTTCTGAGTAGAATGTTCCATTACTGACTTGACTTACTTTACATATTAAATATGCTACCTGGTACATCTGTGTAGAAGTCCTCCACTACCATACAAAGATAGTGAGAACAGATTATTTATCCCATAGTTCCATTTAATCATTCAATCAATAAACCTTGCATATCCCAACGATTATTTTTATTCAGAAATAAATGAGATAATATTATATGCAATTTGTGACTTTTATATTTTTCGTTCAGAAAAACGAAAAAGTACCCTCTTATCGATGACTTACTTTACTTAGTATCAGCTAGTAGACTGATTGAACTGATGATAAAGGATATAAAAAGATGAAAATTTTTGAAAATTCGTATTGAATCAGACCATAAATAAATAAAGTAATGTATTTAGTAATTTAAAGTAAATATTATATAGTTATTAGTTGACAACGCTGAAGATATTTTTACTTAATGAATGCTTTACAGAGAAGATTTTTAAAAATACGATAATAAATGATAGCGAGATAATTTTATCACTCGCATTATCACCATCACTATCGTTAACATCTGCTATTATAGATATCACTAACATGAATGCAGCACTCTACGTTGTCATTCCTTTCGATGTAAAAAATCATTGCATTTTAAGCCAAAGAATTTAGTCTGTATGAAATAAGCAGAAGTAAAATTGTAAATAAAAGTTAAGTCTGTCCTAAAAAACTCAACTCAATCAGCTAAACAATAATCATATTTACAAAACAAATCGAAAATTCCCAAAGAAATTATTGTGAGATGTAAAATGTCAACAGTAATATGCTGAAGAATTTGATAGCAATTGTCATTCTATCTCTTCACTACTTTCCTCTAAAGTATAATAAAACTACGTCTTGTTGACCTTTCTTTTTAAACTGATAACAAAAAATCTATTGCAAAAGTTTTGAAAAAGATTTCATGTAAACCTCTGCATCTTTTGTTTTGTACAAACTGCTGCTGGCTGTTTTTGATTTATGCAAATTTTTGAAATCAAATCCTTGACGAAAAAATCAATAACAATACTTTTTCTATCAAATTCTTTTTAGCGAAAAATAAAAAAGAATAGATGAAAGAACTAAATCTGTTTAAGTTGTATTCAAGCAGCAGAAATGAACTGATTAATTGTATAAGCAATTATATTTTTTTAAATCATATATTTCATCTTTTCATCAATCTAATAGTGATTATTGTTCTACTTTTATATTGCTTGCCAAAGGAGTAAATCAAGAAAAACTTTGATGCAAAGATGTGCACTGATGTGAACTATAAATTTACGTGAAGAAAACAATATGAGTGAAGAATGAACTAATTAGTCTAAGGTATTTTTATCTACACAAAACATCCTTTCAGCATCTAAATTTAATAAACTATAATCTATTAATATGTTATGTGCATCACAACGATAGTATAAAGGTATTAAGAGAAGATCAGTAATACAGATATTCAAATTTCCCAAAAAATCATTTTCCAGTGATAGAAGACGCATGGCACTGACTACCCTCTTCTTCATTTTCCATAAACAGACATGTTTCAATTCATACGACCGATCATGCTCTAATCCAGACAATCATTCAAGATATCATTTATTGATTTAAAAAAAGTTCGCATCAACCTACATCGCCTAAATTTTTGCTAGCGTTATCTACGTCATTACTCATACCATATTACTTGCACTATACTTGCGTCCCAGCTAAGCTACCACAATACACTAATTCATTGTTAATGCATTCCTTTAATCCAATTATTAAACGTTAATATTCATCTGCAAAGATTGCGACATGAAATTTCAAATAATAGTGAAATGATTATTGTGCTTGGGAACATTTCAAAAATTATATCTATGTTTTATATATCGCATGAATTACATGTTTGGTGGTACTAATCACAAGCACTTGCAAGCATCAAATAATAAACAACGACACGGAAAGGCATATTCACCGAATTCGAAAATGAGATTAATGGAACAGAGTTAAGCAAAGCTGTGAGACACGTTTTGTACTGGCAGGAAAAAAAATGAATAAATGAATACACTTATTCAAAATCCCAGAAAGAAAACAGTGCTGCATACAGTAAATTTGATTCATTAAAAGCCACCGCAAAAAGTACAAAATACTGGAACCGTAGATTATGTCTTAATACTCATAACCATGCTTATCAAATCCATATTCTTTGTACCTAAAATAATAACAGTTTAGACGAAAGTAAATGAAATTTATAGACTTTTAAGGAGCCTAAAATACATAGTCCAACTTCCTGCCCTCAAAAACGTAATTAAATTCAATCTCGCCTCGACAAACGGAGACAAAGCATGCGACAAATAAAGAAAGGAAGTCATTAAATTACTGAAAAATTAACTATCTATCTAGCAAAATTTACGTACCATTTTCGTTCCCACCACCAATCAGACATAGGTATAAAGAGTTCAGGCTTATCATAATTCATTTCCTCTAACGTTGGAATACCTAATTCATCCATTGTTGGTTTAATCTAAAAAGTTAAGATTAGGCATTCAAACTGCTTAATCTGTGAAAATGGACGAGACAAATTAGCATGCTTTACAGATCATTAACTCAATGCAGTCATTAAAGAAAATACAAGAACTATGTTACTAGGAAGATAATAAATTACATAAGCATACAAAATGTTTCTGCCTTGAGACTAATTAAATTTTTTAACTCATAATTTTTTCCAATAATTGACTAAAAACAAAACTAAATCAATAAGGGATTTAAAAACTTCTCATTATCTGCAAATTTTACACACCTTATCCATCAACCATTTATGTGTCCACCGTCTAAGAATACATTTTTCTTTCAAAGATTCGATGAAACGTATTGCAAGTGCAAAATCGTTTACACGTCTGCAGGCACGAAGTACTGCATCACAAATGTCTGGATCAGGAACCATATCCAATTCATATAAATCTTGCATAGCTGTAATGTAAATAGAGATAACAAACAGTACAAAAATACGTAATGATTTAAGGTGTTTAGCATAATCTGATGATTCAAAACATTTACCTCCTCGCAAAAAAAAACCATCAATATTTGGATCGTTGAAAACATCCATGTAATGCTGATCTACACCTACAACTTTGCAATTTAACAAATCATATCCTTGCAGTTTGTCACCAATAGTGTTCGAGTATTTAAAGCTTTAAAATAATCTGATAAACATAAAAAACTGTTTCATTTTAGTACAATTACTACAGTGCTTCATCTCAAACTTATTACAAACAAAAATAAACTAAATATCACCAAAGAAAAAAGTGAATTATGAACAAATTTTACATGAAACTGCATAAAAACCTTACGTTTATCTTCTATGTCAGCAAAAAATTTGCCATCAAGTACAGAAGTTGTAGCGATCTGACGCAACAAATATGGTTTTGTAGTAGCCGCAGTTCTAGTTATAAAGCGAGCAAAACTTAGCATGCCTGTCAGTCAATCAAGCTGGATTAACCTGGAATGTGAAATAAATACAAAATGATCCACATACGAAGCAAATAATGCTTCCAATTTAAAAAATGTTATGATTAATAAAGTTACTATTTACTAAAATATTTGAACAAGCAATCATGACAAATCATAAGTGTCTTTCAAGTCATAGCAGTTCATAGGCATATGTGACATGACAATTGAAGCAAATCCTTTCAACACTGCTTAAGTCGTCATGAATACTTAATTTGATCTGACAAATAGAAAAACTTATTTCGTATCATATACCAATTTGTGCACGTTCTACACTACATCAGTATTCAAAAATATTCATCTCAATACCTCCATTTGTATTGACTATACACTACGCCCAAATTGCAATTTACTTCTGCCATAAGTATATCAGTTCTTACTTCGTATTATATCTATGCCTAACTAACTTGCACTCATCCATATAGTAAACAAGTAACTATCGCGACAAACTACACCTACTCATCGCTGTACTCCACCAGAAATATCTCACTGCAGAAAAAACTTCTCATTTGAGAGAAAAAAAAACTGAAATCAACGCGGTTCGTATTTTCAAAAAGCTCTCGAAATGCAATTTACATATCACGTCATTTCCTTGCTCTAAATGATACCACTGAGATTTTCATTTTGGAAATACATTGATCACTCACTTAATAAGCAAGCACAAGTAGCAAGAGCTCAATTTTGCTTCAATTTATTATTATAAAGACTTACTGATCGAACTTTCTTTCATCTCCTCTAACTGCATTATTGCAAGTGCCGTTCGGAGTATAGTACACAGTGCATTTGAGCTTTCTTTACGCGATGACATCTGACCTGCAGTTACAACCTCAGTGTAGTGGAATCGCGACTTTTCAAGTTATGATAATTATCAGTTGTTAATGTTAAATGCTCAAGTCTAACTGAGGCGTAACAAAAATCCAATCTTCAGTACTTCTGAGATGAAAAGTGCTGAAGTACCTAGATTACATTGTCTGACTACCGCAGTCAAATTCAACTTTGAATGTGGTCAAAGTCACTCATCGAATGCAACGTGGAATCGCTTACTTCATAGTGAAATTGGTTGTATGTATATTATTATCAAAAGAGACTTAAAAGTAAGTGCATTCTACATGACATAATCAAATTCGCAGACTTTATCATTATTAAAGGACATACTTGCATCATGTGCGTTGAAACTCACGTTGCAGCACTACTAACGCCAGGTTAATTTGCATGGAAGGCGGAGTTTAGTCATAACATCTTAAGCTTATTAAACTGGGTGGGCATTCTATCTTAGCTAATAGCTAATAGCTAATCGTAAAGTGACCAAATCAGTTTAGTGGACAGATATGTTTGCATGCAGCATCGCATGCAACTTAAACATTTATGAAGGATAGATTAGTATAGAATGAGTAAGGATAGAATACTATGACGTTGTGAGATGTCAAAGGGATAGAATAGCAGTTGTAAGAGAATATAGTATTAGGAAATAGAACAAAATAGAAAAGGAAGATGGGCAAAATAAATGGCTACTCGCTCTGATGGGCAAGGTGACCGCTGCCTTTCTCACTTCATTAACGACTACACAAGGGGTAGTTGCTGCTGTCAGAGGTCATCTCACTTCCTTATCACATTATTTCTGCTAATACTTGATTGATAGGTAAATATTCTCTTCATTCTTTTTTACTTTTATCATTTCTATCTCATATAAACGGATTTTACGTGCCTTGTTCTGCCCACGCGGACTTCTAATATATAGTTGTAAAGCAAATGTGTGCCAATAAACTTTACAGTTCAAAGCTGTTTTTTTTTTTTTTTTTTGTATTGAAAATTGAAACTGAACTATATTCTTTACACGTAATAATTGAATTTTTAAGATATCTTGTGATAACTGCTGACTGACGAATGAATTGTAGTACAGAAGTGTTGTTTGACTGAAAGAAAGTGACTAGCACTCTTAATTTTTTCGATCTAATTTCACTTTAAGTGAAAAACTTTCACTTAGAGTGAAATTAGATCGAAAAAATTTCTATTTTAATTATAATTGCTTAGGAAATTTCACGCTGGCATATATTGCAGCTTTTGATAGTATTTTTTTTCTCAAAAAATAGTTTTTCGCTTTTTTTTTTGCATTTTATTAGGTGAAAAAGTGCCAAAATTTTAATCTTCTGCTGAATGCATAAATTTACAAGGTCACGGTTGCAGTCAAGGTTTTACGTGTTCTTACAACCTTCACAAACTAGTACTTTTGTATCAGCTATTATTTTCAGCCTTTCCATGGCCATCAAGCGATTATTCTTGAATAAAACCTCTGCTTTCATGATACAGTAATTATTTTTGTTAAAACATCTCACTACATATTTTTGTTTCATTTCTACTTGCTCTTGCTATATATTACTTAATTTTGTTACATTTCCACGCATTTTTCCAAACGTCATCTGCACTTACTTTTTTTTTGCCAATTTTTTGATTCACATTAAAGATACTAATTGAATTCTTGAAATTGTTCGGTCATCGATCAAAGTTTTCCAGTATTAAATATTCGTTTTTATTTCAACTTTTTTGGGCTTTTCATTTAAATGGGAAATCAATCGGAATTAATGAATAATCAAAGATTATGTACAAAGAAAGTGAATTATTATAGTTTATACTAATACGTGGACTCTTTAATTTAGCTAAGCATTTAAAGCAAGTACATACATACCCTAAAATGAAAGATGGGATTTTGTTAAAATGGGAAAGATTAATGAGTGTTTAACTAAGCTAAGCTTTGTTGTATGTAACAAATTAAAAATGCAATCGTAGCAAACGATCTGTTTACTGCTAAATATAAACATGTTGTAGTAGAAGCATAAATAAATATTTGTTGTATCGAAAGCATAACGATAATTTTGCCAATACTTTTATTTTAGTATATGATATCAAATCACGCAATATGTTAAGTAAATATTATTACCAATTTCATTCCATCTACTTAATCTTTACAAAGCTCATTAGAATTAACAAAAGATGATTCAGGCATTACATATCCATTACTCTGATCTTTGCTGGAACTATATCTATATGGATTTAAGGCTTTAACTGCTTTTCAGAAATCAGTAATCTGAGAGATGAAATTTGAATATTTAGAATTTATAAGTAAAGTTTGACAAATCTGTTTGAAAATTTTCAGAGTAGCAAAGAAGAAAGACAAGTTAGTGTTATTTCATTGAACAGAGGAGAGATTTTCTTGTGTTTCAAGCAAATTGAATTAATTTAGGAAACAAATTAATTGCGGGATTGATTCAAGAAATTATTTAAAATAGTTTTTATAAAAATTTTTCAAATAATATCCTGCAGTGTAGATTTATAAAGTACTTTCTTCACAAATCTTATTTTTGCTTACTTACTGAAAATTTTACTTTTCATCACTTCATGCGTAACTGATAAGTTATTGACATTCACATTTTTGAATAATTGATGATTTTTTTTTGTTCAGCTCATGTTGTTTGTTTTTCATACGTTTGAAATATATTTAATTTTCAGAAATAAATCTTTGACTTTTTTCATTTTGATTTTGCAAAATTTGTCATTCTTTGAATTACTTTTTATAGAAATTCGCACTTATTTCTGATTCTTGACTATTAAGAGTAGGTGTGCTTCTATTTGTTAAGCTATTTAATATTTGAAATACCTAAATTAATTTAATTTGAAATACTTTACTTAAATAATGATAAAACATACTTTTTAATAAAATATTTCCAATGAAATGCTTTAATTATTGATGTTTTTTTCGATGTTATGTTTGTATCTCTCATATATACAGTTGTGTGTTTATTCACTTATAAAATATAAAATGTTTTTTAAAATTCTGACTTATCAATTATTGAATGGGTAAACGATGTTTTCAGTTGTGTATTTACAGTGCATGTTTAGTTTATCAATTATTTCAATCTTAAGTAAGTTGTAATTTGTAAAGCTTTTTTTTGAATGTTTCAATCAGATCTGATCCAATTTAATACAGCTGATCTGATTAGGAATAATTGATGTGTTTTTTATATTCGTTTGCAAAAATGACACATTTGTTACTTCGTGATCGTTTGCTATTTTCACTTCATAATTATTAATAATTGAAATATTTCAGATAAATGAAATAGAAGAAAAAAAAAACAAGTGGTCATTCTATATATTATATATGAAAAGCGATGCTTCATCAGTATATTCATATAAATTGTGCAAATTTGTGTCCTAAAATATCTATTGGCTTTTCTGAACTTTACTGTTACTATGTTCTCCACAGTTTTTTATGCTTGGCTTTTTTTGGCATCTCTAGCTAAGTATTTAGCAGTAGCTGGTTCCAAAAGTTTGTATTCTTTCTTATTTACTATCTAAATTAAACGAATTAAACCTGCAACTATTGAATCTTATTAATCGAAATTATCATTTTTAGAAATTATGGTTGTTTTTATTTCTTTTATACTCAATACTTTCAGTTCTCTATATCTTTAAAATGTACTTCAGCAGATACTTGTCTAATATTTGATATGGATAAGGCATTTTAGAGTACATTGTTTGAAAATTTGAGATGAATGTAAATTTGCTTCAGTAGAAAGAAATTTTAAACTTAGTTGAACACTTTTACTGAGCGTAAGAATAAATGTTGAAAAATTTTAGGTGAACTTCGACATCTTACTTCTAACAAGGAATTTATTAACAGACTTGCGGAAGGTCAATTTGAAGTGGTTCACCCATTCCAAATCCGTGATAAAAACGATCGTATTGGTATTGATACCAGGTAAATTTTTTAATTCCTCTATTACGTTGGCTTTTTTATATTTCATGCACAGCTCTATTTTTATAATATTAAGCAGATAGAAAAGGAAAGTATTGCAGAAATCATTACTTAAATGGCAGTGTCCATTACAAGTTAGTTACTATCGTTATTCGGAGTACATTTGTTGGACGATTGAAACTACTTTTGGGTTTGAATGAATTATTATTTCTCAATGCGACTAGTTTTCGAAAAGTTTGCTTTGTAAAAACTTTATTTTCTTCATTTTTTCATTACTTTTGAAATCATTTTAGAACGGGAAAAGGATTATCTGTTGTTAGATTTATTTACAGTCTTACATTTTACGCTGTTGAACATAAATCTCTTTGCTATGAAGAAGTAAAGACAACTAAGCATTCTAAATTAGTTTCACTTTTTTATCAGTGTAGATCGATTCGTAAGTGTGGAATGCAGATGTGCAGGATATAATTCTCAGTGAATTCGTAATTAAAATATTATTTTAACGGAAAGTCGTGAAAGATGCAGAAAAAATCACAAGCAAACTTAAAGTGCCGTAGTTATTATCAGATTAAGCAGATGTGCTAATTTGTGACTAGTACTGTTTTTTTAAATTATACATGATTAAATATAAGCAAAAGTTAATTTCCCAAATAAGTTGATAAGTTATCCGGGAAATTTCAGATATTAGGATTTCTCTTTTAGCTTGATAGTGATGGAGATTCTGCAATCAATCGACATGTTGAAAATTGTTATTATCAAGGAACTGTTAATGGTGAAGATGGATCATTTGTGGCACTATCAACATGCAATGGTTTGCGGTATGAAGTTATATAAAAATATTTTCAGCGCACTCGTTTGGTATGTCATGTGCGACTTTTAGTAAAATGGAAATTGGTACTTTGAAAAAAGGAGCAGTGAAAAGAATGAAAAGAATTTTTATGAACATTTGGAGTGATTTTTTCTTCAGAGGTATCATAGCTTTCGATAATGGTTCAGCATATGGCATATGGCCCTTAGACGGAGGTGACCGTGGACGTCGTCATCCACATGTTTTGTATCGCATTAGATGGTCTCAATCAGCTAATTGTGGTAGTCAACTTGGCGACAATTTAAAACAGTTTAAAAAAGTTTACATTTATGTTTATTTTTATAAATTTTATACAGAACTAGTAATATATAGTTTACAATGTATTATTTCTCTATGTGAAAATGATGCTATTATTTTCTGGCATACATTATGCTAGATTGTATATAATCTTAGTGTATATTTTTATCTACACTAAGATATTTTTATCTATTAAATATTTCAGTTGTTGAAACGTGATGTCACGAAACAAATAAAATATATCGAATTAGCTGTGATTGGAGATAATTCCTTCGTAAGTGATAAACATTGATGTAATAAAGTCAGTTTTATTTCTGACCAAACAAATATATATTCTAAAGTTACTAACGATTATTTGGATTGTATGCATTTACCTGTGAACATAGGTATCAGTATTTGAAAATTATTATTTATACTTCAGTATTATGAACGTCTAAATATATTCTTATGATTTATAGAAAATATTTCGATCTTTTTTGCTTACTTCAGAATTTTGACACTTATCATTTTTTTACAGATGAAGGAACATGATTTAAGCGAAGAAGAGGCTACTGCATTCATTTTAGAATCTATAAATATTGCTGATTATGTAAGTCTTTAACAAACAATTTTCGACTTTTGCCAAGGTTTCTAGTATTAAGCACTAAATTAGCTTATGCAGTAATTAGTTTCGCGGTAAATAAATTTGGCATTTGTAACATTGAGTGTATGATTAAGTCAAAGGACAAAAAAGAATAAAATTTTTTATTTTTATTAAAGATAATATCTGAAACAATCTAAATAATTTTTTAATATTGGCAAATTTTGAGAAGTAATCTTATATATCAGTGTAACAAGTAATTTAATTAGTATTTCTTTTTATCATAATGTTGTAGAAGAATGGATATTGTTATCTGACAACACGAATTATAAAAGTTATATTATTAGTAAGTATCAATTATTGTCTATAAAAT